CGAACCCGCCACCTTAGGTGTATGTGGCTGGCACCTTAGCCGCTTGAGCCACAGGCGCCGAGCCCTTTATTTTTTTTAATTAATTAATTTTTTTAGAGACAGAGTCTCACTTTGTTGCCCTTGGTAGAGTGCTGTGCCGTCACAGCTCACAGCAACCTCTAGCTCTTGGGCTTAGGTGATTCTCTTGCCTCAGCCTCCTGAGTAGCTGGGACTACAGGTGCCCACAATGCCCAGCTATTTTTTGTTGCAGTTTGGCCAGGGCCGGTGCCCTACTCACTGAGCCACAGGTGCCATCTGTGTTTCCATCTTTAAATGTATCACACACTGCACTTCTGGTCCATAGTTGTGTCTATCTACTACCACCATACTCAGGGCACAAAAGCATGAAAATATCATAATGTTAATCTCAAAGTTTTTGCTTCTACAATTCCCTCTTCTTTTGCACTATTGCACTAACTTATTCACTGGGTACTCTGAGGACCATTAAGCGATTCTCTAAAAATGTGGCTTCTGGACAGAATCCTCAGCAATTCTAATTATATGCCTCAGTAATGCAAGTAAATTAGGACAATACACATTCAATACATTAGTCTTCTGTAGAAAGAATTCTGCATTAAACATAATTTTCTGAAAGCCATCACAACAAAGATCTCACAGAAACATACTCAAAACTCAAGCTCTGTGAATGACAAATTTAAACAAATTAATGTGACCGAATGAATACACAAATGAGTAAATGTTGAATGCTGAGATCACACCAGATGTTAAGTGGCAATTTTTACAAATAAATTACTATGAAAATTATCTCAAATTTTATACCGTATGTTTAAATGATGAAGATATTATGCTACTTCTGGGTAGAGGCATGAGTATCTGAGAACACATAGCATTCAGTATTAAATATTTTTTTCTTTCTTTTTTGTTTTAAGGTAAGGTCTTGTTCTATAACCTAGGCTGGAGTATAGTGATTCAATTACAACTCACTGCAGCCTGAAACTTCTGGGGTCATGTGATCCTCCCATGTAGCTAGAACTGTTAAGACACAAGACATCAGACCTGGCTAATTTTAAAAAATAGCTTTTAGAGACAAGGTCTTGCTATGTTGCTCCAGGCTGGTCTTAAACTACCGGCCTCAAGCAATCCTTCTACTTCAGCCTTCCAAGTACAATATTAAATATTCCAACAGCTGACAAACATAACAAGAATCACTATCAGAATCTTATAAAACATGTGGTTTGAGTTTCAAAAAAAAAAAAAAACATATGGAGATATGAAAAGCAAAACATAATGGGATAAAAAAAATTAAATCCATAATGAAAGCTTTTATTCCTAGCTCAGCTAAAGTAATCCTTGCTGAATGTTTAATCTATGTAAGGGGCTAAGGAAATGACACACTGTGTTTTTTTAAAAGTCCAGGTGAATGCCATACCTGATGTCCACCCTAAGCTTAGGATAATACTGAGACACGTATTTCCTGATGAGACTGTAAGAAGCTTCTTTAGGTTCACAAAGGCGAGTAAAAGCCAGTGGGAGCACATCCTCCAATTTTACTTGCGGTTCTGGATCCACTGCAGAGCTCCTCTTCTGAAATGCAGTATTGAAAAATTATGATCACCGTATGATATAAATGCTTTTATATATAACTCAAGTGGTTTCCTCAGCTGACAGCCAAATCAACTGCCAAACAGGAAATGGTCACTTTTTCCACATTCAAATAAATCACATCACAGTGCTGTAATATCATCTGTGTGGCAATTTCTTCGAGATAAAAATTTTGCATTGCAGGAATTAAAAATAAATATATAAGATGGTAGGCAAGCAGACTTTAAAGATCTTAACTGATTCTTAGCCTTCAATAACAAAGAATGAAGTACAGTATTAGAAAGTACTATATGAAAGTTCATTTTCAAAGTCTGAAAATTCTACAAAAAAGTACAAACATCTTCAGAGTTGTAAAAACAAAGGTTTAGCAAGGGTGTCCAACCTGTGGACCACATGCAGAGTATTTAAGGACTGTTCTGCTCATCTGCATGGATCTTTCCTTTTGTTCATCAGCTTTTGTCAGTGTTTGCATCTTTAATTGTGGCCCAAGACAACTCTTGTTTTTCCAATATGCAACAGAAAAAAGGCTGGATACCCCTGGTAGAGAAATACTACTTCATTTGTTGACACAGACAAAATTACAGAGGATGGCTCGGCAACTGTGGCTCAAGCAGCTAAGGTGCCAGCCACATATACCTAAGGTGGCCGGTTCGAATCCAGCCTGGGCCCACCAAACAACAATGATGGCTGCAACCAAAAAATAGCCAGGCGTTGTGGTGGGCACCTGTGGTCCCAGCTACTTGGGAGATGGAGGCAGGAGACTTGCTTGAACCCAGGAGTTGGAGGTTGCTGTGAGCTGTGATGCCACAGCACTCTACCCAGGGCGACAGCTTGAGGCTCTGTCTCAAAAAAAAAAAAAAATTATAGAGGATGTCAAAAAAAATCTACAGATTTTAAGAAAGGAAAAAACTGTGGCCAGGTGTGGTGGCTCACCCCTGTAATCTTAGTACTCTTGAGAGGCCAAGGTAGGTGGATCACTTGAGCTCAGGAGTTCAAGACCAGCCAGAGAAAGATTCAGAGACCTTGTCTCTACTAAAAATAGAAAAATGAGCCAGCTATCATGGTGGGTACCTATAGTCCCAGGTACTCGAGAGGCTGAGGCAAGAGGATTGCTTGAGCCTAAGAGTGAGTCTGAGGTTGCTGTGAGCTATGATGACACCATGACATTCCACCCAGGGCTAAAGAGTGAGACTCGGTCTCAAAAAAAAAAAAAAAAAAAAGGAAAGAAAGAAAAAAAAATCTGTATTAACATAGTAATACTCAATATACACTGATAACAAAAGATGAATACAAGTCATGTTTGTTTTCTGCAATTATAAAAGGTGCTCAAAGTAGTTACCACCAGTGTCCAGACACTTCTGATTACAGTGAATGAAAAATATACAGATTAACATCTCTTAAAATGTGTACACATCTTTTTGGCATGGTGCCCCCAGTAGTTCACTTCATTATTGCAGAAATAATTTACACAAATAATTGTATGCCTTGGGGAGGGAGGTACCAATAGTTATAAAAAAGAGAAGAAAAAGTGGCTCTGGGTAGTTTTGGGGTTATTACTTATATACTTCTCTAGTTTAAAAAGTATTTCATAAAAATAAGTAATTCACAGAGCTGCCCATAATTCATTAAAGGACTTAAAGACCACAGGATTAAGTGAGTTCAAGTGCTTGGATTTGCACCCTGGCTATTCTACCACTAGGTAGGGAAATTAATAACCTCTCTAAGGTCTTAGTAGAAAGGTTGAACTTTGCATGTTGCCAGGTACACAGCAAATGCTCAATAAAAGCTGCTATTTTCACTAGCAATATTATACTGCTCAAATTGAGGTATAGACTTCTTACCTTTCTGTTTCTGGATTTCTGAGGTGTTTTTCTTGTTTTCTGAACCACAACAAAACTTCCAGAAGCACCTTTTCCTTTTACCTAAAGTAAATTAATTTTTAAGTTATTCTAGCATTCATATTTATAACTTTACATTAAAGTAAGGGAATTACAGAACATGGTGAGAGCTAATAAGCTGCTATTTATTTTTATTTATTTGTTTTGAGTTAGGATCTTGCTCTGTCACCTGGGGTAGAATGCAATGATGTGATCATAGCTCACTGTGACCTCAAACTCCTAGGCTTAAGCAATCCTCCTGCCTCAGCCTCCCTGCTTCAGCCTCCCAAGTAGCTAAGACAGGCACACCCCAATATGCCTGGCTAAGTGAAAAAAAACTGTTTTATAGAGATGGGCTCTTTGTTATGTTGCCCAGACTGGTCTTAAACTTCTGGCCTCAAGCAATCCTCCCACCTTGGCCTCCCAAAGTATTGGAATTACAGGCATGAACCACTGTGCCTGTGCATAAAGTGCTGTTTAACTTTTCAGAGAAAAAAAGTGAATGAAGAGTCAAGACTTGGGATGGAATCTTACTTACAGTATCATCTAGCTAATACTGCATAATTCTGGACAACCCAGTTAAACTTCTGAACTTTTGTTTCCTTGTCTCTAAAGACTGGGGAAGGAATGCTCTTATGATATGAGGTTACTACAAGTTTTCAAAAAAAACACAAACAAAAAAATGACCAAAAAAAAAAAAAAGGAAAATCCCCCAATACCAAATATGTCCCATGGAAGGAAGAGACAATCTCTTAAGAGAAAATCCTTCACTGTCTTGGAAGGAAAACCGCTTCTCAAAAGAACAGAGCCTAGACTCAGGCCATAATACTTCCCATAGTTTACCAAATATAGATCATTACTTCTTATGGAAAAGGTTATCTACTAAATTTTTAGACACTGCTCATGATGATATGTGTAAGTATTACTACATACATCCACAATTTATAAAGCACTTTCACAGAACTTTAAAGTTGATTCACAATAACCAAAGTCCTCCACATCTTAGCTTTACTTACACTGCTATCAACATAGCAATCAGGGGTCGGGTGCAGAGGCTCATGCCTGTAATCCTAGCACTTGGGGAGGCTGAGGCAGGAGGATCACTTGAAGCCAGGAGTTCGAGACCAGCCTGGGCAATAGCAAGACCCCATCTCTACAAAAAATAAAAAAAATTAGCCAAGCATGGTGACACATGTCTATAGTCCCAGCTACTCAGGAAGCTGAGGCAGAAGGATCATTTGAGCCCAGGAATTTGAGGTTGCAGTGAGCTGTGATGATGCTACTGCAACCTAGGGTAACAGAGGAAGACCCTAGCTAAAAAAAGAAAAAGCCCCAGTAGCACTGAATTCTGTACTAATCAAACCATGCAGGAAGGTATACAAAAAAGGTAATAGGACTCTGAGAAATGTGGTAAACTAGGTTCTTAGGACCATCTTTGCCACTGCTATGAGATGTTGGTAGTTGAAATTACACAAGGCCTCTGAAGAGGGTAAGACAGAATATAATCCAGTCTAGCTTTAGCTTTCCATAGTTCTAAGGAATGTTTTAATGAGCTATGCAAAGTAATATAGATTTATGCCTGATATCAGGTTATAATATTAGCCTCAATTCATTCAGATGTCTCTGATGCTTCTAACATGATTAATAGGCTAGATATTGATCAGTTAAGGTTAACCTATTTACAAAACTAATTTATAATAGTAACAGGTTTAGGCATATAAGTCAGGCTTTAAAAGGCTTTAAAAGTTAACAAACCTGGGGCAAGAAGAGCAATCATTTTTTGCTGTCACAATAATAGGATTCTTTAACTCTATTTCTCATCTTCAGTGCTATATGATTTCAAGCACAAGCAGCCCCCAAAGAGAACCCAATTTAGAGTAAAACAGGCCAGGCACAGTGGCTTGTATCTTGTATCTTTGGGAGGCCAAGGTGGGATGATCACCTATGGCCTGGAATTCAAGACCAAACCCAGGAAAATGAGGAGAGCTCCAATTCTAGGAAAAATAAATTAGCTGGGCATGGAAGTATACACCAATAGTCCTAGCTACCCAGGAAACTGAGGCAGGAGGATCATTTAAGCCCAGGAATCTGAGGATACAATGAGGAGCCTAGGTGACAGGGCAAGACTCTCTAAAAAAATTTTTTTTAAAGAATAAGATAAAAAGAATTACACTACCTTACTGCTTCTGCTATCTAGATGTATAATTAATTATGAAGGCAACTGACATCAATGTTTTTGAAACTTAGTTTCAGATAATAAAATTAGATTAACCTAGGCTGGGCCTAGAGGCTCATGCATATAATCCTAGCACTTTGGGAGGCCAAGGCAGGTAGACTGCTTGACTGAAGAGTTCAAGATCAGCCTGAGCAAGAGCAAGACCCCTGTCTGTATCAAAAATAGAGAAACTAGCTGAACACTGTGGTGGGCACCTGTAATCCCAGCTACCTGGGAAACTGAGGCAAGTGGATTGCTTGAGCCCAAGAGTTTGAGGCTGCTGTGAGCTATGCTATGGCACTCTACCCAGTGTGACTGAGACTCTGTCTCAAAATAAATAAATAAAATCAGGTTAAGCTTAATCATTTCATCATCATGTAATTTATTTTTAACAAAAGACACAAAAAGACTAAATCGTAACAAATATGGACTTATAGCTAATACATGATAAAATGATCTTATTACCAAAAACTGTGCAATAATACCTGTTTGATGACTCCTCTGTTTAATTCTCTTTTCAATGCTTGTTTAAGGAGATAGCCCCTTCTCTCCAACTCCAGAGAAGGATACTTATGTATGATGTATTTTCGAATAGCAACTACTGATGCACCACTCTTCTGGAAGCATGCCTAAAAAACAGATTTATTAAAACATATACATTACTTTAAACTAGTTTTTTATTAGATAAAGAACCTGACATACATTTCCAAAATAAATTACTTTGGAAGTGAACATGATAAAGGATAAAAATGGCATTATTGAATGGATGACAACTTTAGCTCATAAAGGCTATGGAGAAATACAGAATTACTAAATATTTCTGCAATATTTTTAACTTGTTCTAACCATCCAAACAGACATATTAATTGTGTGTTAATTAACACTCTCCATTTTAATTCTATTTTATACTTAGAAGATAGATCTTTAGCATCAAGATGAGGAAAGCAGAACATTTCTATCACTTATAAGATTACAGATCTGTATCACTTTAAGGAATGAGTTTTGGCACACCTGGACCACAAGCTTTGTATAAATATGAGCCAAGAGAAGAATCGAAGATAATCTGAACAAACAGCATAAAATTAACAAACCTAGGACAAGAGCAATCATCATTTTTGTTGTCACAATGGGATTCCTTAGCTCTATTTCTTATCTTCAGTGCTATGTGATTTCAAGCACAAGCAGCCCCCAAAGGGAATCCAATTTAGAGTAAATAAGCAATGTGTTAAAAGGGAAGTTTTGGTAAAAAGGAAGTGTTCTACTAGAATTTAAAGCGCCCAATTTCATCCAATTTACCTATATTCCATTTTAATGCCTATGTGAGAATTAAGTAACTCATTATATGTCACAAAAGCAGCAAATGCGTAACTTATTTTTCAGATGTTTTAAATTTTGAAGTCCACAGAAGTACTATCTTCCATTTATCTAATGGACCAGTCCACCAATTTTTGTGTTGCCATTGTCTATAAACTGAACACAGTACTTATTCATTCTTACTGGATAAGGACTTAGTCGAATGTTATTTTATATATTTTGACAATAAAGAAAAGTAACCCAGAGGTAGATAAACCAGAAGAGATTGTACAATACAAAACAAGTTATGTTAATGTGAGCCACCTAACTCAAATCAGGTGTCTCTGGTTTATTAACAATCTATTGAAGTTTACTACTAATCTTAAAAGAAAACACAAAGCAAAGAAAATCAAACAGAAAAGAACTCTGTGAAACAATCCATCCCTTGCTCCATCAAACTGATAATGAGATGAGGGTAAGCAGGACTCTGCTTTTGACTAAGAAAATGGTACCAGTGATCTAAAATCATGATTTTATTATGTCACATGGATAATACATTATATAGACATAATTTGTATAAATATACTCAATCATATTTAAATTGTTTAGGCCAAATTAGTATTGTTTTAAAATTTTAGTCCCTTCTCCATCCTCACTATAACCCCACTCCTTCAAACCCAGGCTGAGTGGTCAAGTAAAATCCTTGAAAAGAGTCTACACAATAGAGATCTCCCTATAGTCAAGGTATCAAGACCAAGAAAGTTTTCTTAATGAGGGCATAATTACTCTTGAAGGTGTAAAGAGAAAAGTCTGAAGCCAAATTCCTTTCCAACTTATGTGTCAGCACTATCTTCTTGAATTGAGAATGACAATTCAAGGCTGCTCCTTCCTATGTACATGGTACTTGGTTAAAATGATCTGTATCCCTCCTTCCCCAATTCTGACTCAGACCCTAGCAATGGGATCCCTGAAATAAGAGGTGGGTGTATTTTACATCCTCTTATCTGATCAGGCAAAATCAACAAGGCAAAACTAAATAAAAAGATTTATACAATAAAGGCAATGATTTATTAGCTTTATTAGATTTATTTATTAGATTTATACTAATAAAGGCAGATTAGAAGACAGGCTTAAAAAATGAAAATAAGAAAACCAGTACACCATAAATGCATTAATATACATAGTCACGATTTAGTAAAGAAAAAAACTACATCTGATGATCACATAAACAAACTAAAGTCAGTAGATTATAGCAAATTCATAAAGTTATGTAAGGAGGGTAATTTCTGCAAGCATTTTGGAATGGCTAGGTGATAAAGCAAAGTAGTGGGTTTATAAGAGGGTTCTTAGATCAAGTGTGTGAAAGATAACCACTATAAAGATTAGACGTTTAGCTTTACAAACAGAACTACAATTTTTTAACACAAAAATTCTCAATATTAATTACTGAATCACAATTAGATTTATAAAGGTAAGGACTTTTGCTTGCCACTTAGTCTATACTGCATTATAGACTCTAACCATCACTAGCAGAGCTACCTGACACAGAGAAGGTAATCCTTAAATGTTGTTGAATGAATTAACATTTTCAATCTTTAAATAAAAACCACATTTAAGCTGAATAAAAATACTTCTAAATATAAGTTAAAAATATTGGATACAATAAATATGAAGTTTTAAAAAAAGCAACAATGCTCACGAAATGTGATTATATTAGAAAAACATGAACCTCATAATGACTTTCTTCTATTTAAATCTCCTTTAGGAAGAAGAGGTTTATGACCTCTAGACAGAAGTATGCCATTTTCTAATAAGCAAAGATGATCAGAATAAATCTAAGATGAACTGCTTAAAATAAAAACTTGCCTTAATGGCCTCAGTTAGGATTGCATCCATCTTGGGACGTGGGGAAGAAGCCATCGGTGTTTGTTTCTGGGCTCTGGCTAGCTGGCTGGCAGAAAGGGTAGCCCAGGAAGGTATTGTTTTTTTCACTTTCTTCTCCTTTTCTTTAGACTGATCTTTCTCACTTTAAAACAAAGAATTGTTTTTATGTAAGATGAACTCTTGAGAAGAGTTTATAAATAAAGTCAGAAAGAGGAAAAGACCAAGGAGGACTAAAAATTAATGTTTTAATCTACTTACATAATAAAGTGGTATGTATAATGAGCAAGATCTTACAAAATAAAAAATATATATGTATTTTTCATAAAAAAAAAAAATTACATATGGAATCTCACTAAGTTGGGCCAGGCTCATCTCAAACCTCTAGTCTCAATCCTCTCACCTCACCCTTCCAAAGTGCTGAGATTACACGTGTGAGCCACTGAGCTTGGCCAAAATATAATGTTTTTTAACAATAGGTACTATAAATCAACTAAAGAGAGAGGAGTCACACAAACTAACAGTAGCATGAAGGCCCAGTATGAGGGCTGTCTGTAGTCAGCAATATACATCTCTATTTTTCATATTACACGGCTGGGTACTTTCCAGACAGCCTGCATACAAAAGAAATGAGAATTTTAAATGTATACTAGTTAACAACTGCAACAAATGCAACTGGTATAGTGTAAAAAACTCAAGTTCTTAAGTCAAAGACTCAAGTTTGAGTTTTCACTCAAACACTTACTAGCTAGCTATATAACCTTATAAATAACAGGAGTCTCAGTCTCCTCAGCTGTCACATACTAATATAACATCAACTACTTCACAAGATACTGTAAGAATTATAAAGGGTGGCGCCTGTGGCTCAGTGGGTAGGGCGCCAGCCCCGGCCAAAGTGCAACAAAAAAACAGCCGGGTGTTGTGGCGGGCACCTGTAGTCCCACTACTCAGAAGGATGAGGCAAGAGAATCACCTAAGCCTAGAGTTGGAGGTTGCTGTGAGCTATGTGATGCCATAGCACTCTACTGAGGGTGACAAAGTGAGACTCTGTCTCTACAAAAAATAAATAAATAAATAAATAAAAATTGTAAGGTTATGTTTATCTGGCTCTGTGCCGATAGCTCAGTGAGTAGGGCACTGGCCATATACACCAAAGCTGGAGGGTTCAAACCCAGCCGAGCCTTCTAAACAACGACAACTGCAACCAAAAAATAGCCAGGTGTTTTGGTGAGCACTTGTTGTCCCAGCTACTCAGGAGGCTGAGGTAAGAGAATCGCTTGAGCCCAAGAGTTTGAGGTTGCTGCGAGCTGTGACACCACTACACTCTACTGAGGGTGACATAGACTCTATCTCAAAAAAAAAAAAAAAAAAGAACATGTTTATCAAAACAATTTTGTGAGTCATAAAGCATTATATAAATTTTATTTTAAGTAATAATAGCAGTACTTTGTGCACCTAATAGATACATTAGAACACTGCCGGCCAGTTGCCGGCTGCAATGGCTCATGCCTCTAATTATAGCACTCTGGGAGACCAAGGTGGGTAGAACTGCCTGAGCTCACAGGTTCAAGACCAGCCTGACCCAGAGTGAAACCTCATTTCTAAAGATAGCCGGGCACTGTGGCAGGCACCTGTAGTCCCAGCTACTTGGGAGGCTGAGGCAAGAGAATTACTTGAGCCCAAAAGTTTGAAGTTGATGTGAGCTATGACGCAACAGCACTCTACCATGGGTGACAAAGTGAGACTCTGTCTCAAAAAAAAAGAACACTGGAAAGTATAAGACAGCTGCCAGATACTGATGTGGTGGCTCACACCTGTAATCCTAGCTACTCAGGAGGATCACTTGAGGGCAGGAGTTTGAGACCAGCCTGAGTAATGTGTCAAGATCTTGTTTCTAAAAATAAATTTTAAAAAGTTAGCTAAGCTTGGTGGCACACACCTTTGGCCCAGCTACTTGAGAGGCTGAGGCAGGAGGATTGTTTGACCCCAGGAGTACATGGCTACAGTAAATGATGTTTGTGCTACTGTACTCTAACCCAGGTGACAGAATGAGACCTTGTCTCTAAAAAAATTATACAAATACAGGATAGCTGCTGAAATTTCCACAGACTATACTTATACCTTTGAAACTAGGATAAAATTACTTTCTGAAGATTATATCTAGAAGGTACAGTTATTCCTAAGTTATTCTTTTACAGTAACATACCACATGGTGATGTTTTGGTCAATGACTAACCACATATAGACAAAGGTCCTGTAAGATTATAATAGAGCTGAAAAATTCCCAACACATAGATGTCATAATGTCCTAACACAACATTACTCATATGTTGGTGATGAGGCTACAATTCCAGTTGTATAAAAGCATAGCATACACAATTATGTAAAGTACACAATACTTCATAATAATATAATGTGTCACTGATTCATGTATTTACTATGTTACAATTTTTATCACTAGAGCATGCTTTTTCTGCTTAAGAAAAGTTAACTGTAAAAACAGCCTTAGGCAGGTCCTTCAGAAGGTGTTTCAGAAATAGGCATTGTTATCCTAAGAGATGACAGGTCCACATGTGTTACTATCCCTGAATACTTACCAGTGGGACAAGATCCAGAGGTGAACGAGAATGATTTTAAAGATCCTTATTTTGTATATGCCTAGGCTAATACTTATGTTTATGTCTTTGTTATTTTTCCCTCTTTTTTCTTTAGTGATGGGGGGGGTCCTAGCTATGTTGCCTAGTCTGTACGTGAACTCCTAAGCTCAAGCAACCCTTCTCCTTCAATCTCCTAAGCAGCTGGGACTATAAGGTGCAAGCCACTATGCTGGGCTTGGGTCTTAATTTTTAGTAAAAGTTAAAAAGGAAAAAAAAACTTTTTTAAATAGAAAACTTTACAGAATAAGAATATACAGAAATAAAATATTTTTTGTACAGCTGCATAATGTGTTTTGTAGTGTTACTACAGCCAAAAAAATCAAAAACTTAAAAATAATTTAAAGGTTTATAAAGTAAAGGTTATAGTAATCCAAGGTTAAGTTGTTATTGAAGAAAGAAAAATATCCATCTATTTATTTATTGAGACAGAGCCTCACTTTGATGTCCTGGGTGGAGCACAGTGGCCTCAACATAGCTCAATGCAACCTCAAACTCCTGGGCTCAAGAAATATTCCTGTTTCAGCCTCTTCAATAGCTGATAGTATAGGTGGGCATTACCATGTCTGGCTAATTTTTTCATTTTTAGTAAAAGCAGAGTCTTGCTCTTGCTCAGGTTGGTCTCAAACTCTTGAGCTCAAGCAATCCTCCCATCTGGGCCTCCTAAAGTGCTAGGATAACAGGAGTGAGCCACTGTGCCTGGCCTTGTTATAAATTTAGTGAAGCCTGAGTAGACAGTGTTTACAAAGTCTATAGTAGTATACAGTAATATCCTAGGCCTTCAAATTTACTCAGTACTACCTCATCCAGAATAACTTCCAGTTCTAGAATCTCTATCCATAGGAAGCGTCTTATACAGGTATACCATTGTTTCTTTTACACCATATTTTTACTGTACTTTTTCTATGTTTAGATACACAAAAACTTACCACTGGGTTATAGTGCTTACAGTATTTAGCACAGTAACATGCTGTTTGTAGCCTAGGAGCAACAAGCTATCCCATACAGCTTAAGTGTGTAATAAGGGATACATTTTAGGTTTGTGTTAAGTACACTGTCTGATGTTGGTGCAATGATGAAGCTGCCATGACTTCTTTTTAAAAAATTTTTTTAGAGACAGGGATTCATCCTATGTCACCTGGGTAGAGTGCAGTGGTATAATGATAGCTCAAAGAAGCTATCTTCTGGGCTCAATTAATCTTCCTGCCTCAACTTTAAAAGTAGCTGGGAGGCCAGGCATGTGGCTCACACCTATAATCCTAGCACTCTGGGAGGCTGAGGTGGGAGGATCGCTTGAACTCCTAGAATTCTTGACTAGCCTGAGCAAGAGCAAGATCCCAGCCTCTACTAAAAATAGAAAAACCAGCCAGGCATTGTGGTAGGCTCCTGTAGTCCTAGCTACTTGGAAGGCTGAGGCAGGAGGATCATTTGAACTTAGGAGTTTGAGGTTGCTGTGAGCTAGGCTGATGGCACAGCACTCTAGCCTGGACAACAGAGTGAGATTCTGTCTTGAAAAAAAAAAAAAAAAGTACCTGGGATTATAGGCACATGCCACCATACCCAGCTAATCTTCTTTAATTTTTTTTTAAGGACACATTAAAATTTGCTTTAATACTTCTTTGGGGAAAAAAAAATCATATTTTAGTGAATGAACAAGAAACATTTTTACAGTGACAGTATGCTATTATTTTTATCTATCATGCCATGAATTCATAGGGAAGAGGTGCCAGTAGCTCAGGGAGGCACCTTGCCATTGAATGTGACAAAGCATTGATTGACTTTTGAATTCATGGGAAATATATTCCAGCACCTTCTATCACTGTTACATGGGGTCCACTGGTTATCCTGTGTGCTATGCTGTACACCTATTATGGGAATTAATAGGTTCCAGCACCTAAAAACATGGGTACACTAGTACTCCTGGGTGCTATGTTATGTGCTTTATGCCATGAACTCATAGGGAATGGGTTCCAGGAGCTCAGACTCATTTCCGTTGGTTCTCACAAAGTGGGCTTCTTTGGGTGGAGCAGGCTGGCGCTTCAGCTGAACCCAGGTACCTTTCTCTTTGGCTTCCTTCCTTCCTTTCTGATCATTTTCTTTCATACATTTCAGGAAGCTATCTCGGCTCTTAGAGTGCTTAATATGCTCAATATAAACATTAATCCTCTTGGCAAGAATCTTGCCTTTAACTTGTTTGTTTACAACAATGCCAAAAGCATGCTGGGTAACACTGCAGACTTCCAGTTTTGCCATGGTAACATTTGTCTGGCATGCCTTTTTGAACAGTACACATTCCCTTGACGTCTACAATATCACCTTTCTTATAGATTTGCATATATGTGACCAAAGGAACAACTCCATGTTTTCTAAAAGGCCTAGAGAACATGTATTGGGGTGCCTTTTTCCCTTTGTATTTGTCATTTTGGTGAATTACTGGAAGATGGCATCTATGGCCGAAAGCCCTTAATTTTTTTATTTGCTGTAGAGACATGGTCTTGCCATGTTGCCCAGGCTGGCCTTGAACTCTTGGCATCAAGCATTCCTTTCCACCCTTCTCAGCCTGACAAAGTGCTGGGATTACAGGAGCGAGCCACTGTGTTTGGCCCAGATTGATGCCCTCTAACATAAGCACATAAAAGCACTCACTTTGGTGGCATTTGTAGCTCAGTGGGTAGGGCAATGGCCACATACACAGAGGCTGGTGGGTTCAAACCTGGCCAGGGCCAGCTAAAACAACGATGACAACTGCAACAACAAAAAAATAGCTCGGCATTGTGGTGGGCCCCTGCTGTCCCAGCTACTTGGGAAGGTGAGGCAAGAGAATCACTTAAGCCCAAGAGTCTGAGGTTGCTGTGATGCCATGGCAGCCGTGGCACTCTACCAAGGGCAACATAGTGAAACTCTGTCTCCAAAAAAAAAAAAAAGCAACTCACCTTGGCACAGAGGTAAGAATAAAATGATGAAATTGTCTTCCAGGTCAGATTTTTATAATCTCACTTCTTTTTTTTTTTTTTTTTTTTATTGGCCAGGGCTGGGTTTGAACCCACCACCTCTGGTATATGGGGCCTGCGCCCTACTCCTTGAACCACAGGCGCCGTCCAGAATCTCACTTCTTCCACCTATTAAAAACAGTGTTTGACTATTCCACCCAAGTTTAGACATTTGTCCAATTTATTTGCTAACCAAACTTTTAAAGACACACATTTTTTCCTTCCAAAGCAATTAAAATGTGACGCTCATAGA